GCCGCATTAGGGGGAATGCGAATTTAATGCAGCGGCGGAAACGGACTACTGGGGCTTTCGGAGCTTAGGGATGTTTAGGGCGTAGGGGTTCGAGTGTATAGACCCCTGCAAACATCAAGACCAGTTCTTTACAGTCCCGATGTAAGTACGTCGTAGAACATCTTCGATACACCCTGAACCGCTTTTTCTGACCATTTAGGCGTTTATGCAGTGTTGATGGCGGAAATACTTCACCACCCCAAATCCTACGATTTGGAATGTGCAGCATGTCCACCATCAACCATTTTCTTTGCAGCTGTCTAGGAAAATCAGCCTATAGTCCCCCTTAAGTAGATAGAATATGGCTTTGGGTAGATTATAATAAGATCCCCATATACCCCATATTCTATCTACTTCAGGGGGACTATAAACCCTAATCTGTCCAAACTTAACCCTACAAGGCCTTCAGAGCTTTCGCCACCAGAAGGGCAGAATGATGAAGGTCTTCGTAAGTCAGGACCGCCTGGCTTCAAGACAGCTTGGTTTAGGGTTTAGGGTTTAGGGTTTAGCTTCAAATTTTGCCGCTTAAGGTATAGCCTACTTGATCTCACAAGCATGTGCTCTCTGGGCAAGGATCCCACGTCGTTCCAGTTTCACAGTATTAGCCATAGTCTAAACTCCTAGCATCCCTCTTGATGAGGCCTATAGTACCCTGTATAACTCCCTTAAGGAGTTAAAGATTATTTTGTTCCAGTCCAAGGCACTGGCAGATGCCCAAGCCCAGGGTCCACAGCCGCAGCTTCCCGCGGGTACTGCTTGGACAACCTAGACAGGATTGCAAGTCGAGGTTTAGGGTTTAGGGTGTGTATAAGCAGGTGTTATGCCATAATGTCTTCAAATTCTTCCAGGTATGGATACCACCAATGTTTCGTAATAATTGTACCCCTCCCCCCCTACTTGTCAACTCTTTGCTCTGAGTCCAGGGGACTTTTCGGTGCATGTGGATTGTAAACCTGGTTGCTAATTCGGGGTCATGACCGGTTTAGGGTTTGTGGATTTGGAGGATTAAGCTTGAGAAGTTGAATGAATGAATGAATGAATGAATGAATGAATGAATGGACGAGTGAATCAGCGTTCCTCAGGCAAGTCGTATTGTTGCGTACCATCTAGTAGATCTGAATAGGGCAAAGCATACCACGAGACTAGTCACACTTCTGGAGAACTGCTGTTGATGGAGGACGTCTTGCCCCATTCAGAACCCCACGCCTACCTTACGTTGAGATGTTTAGAAGGTGAAAGTCGCGCAGCATTTTCTTTGTGAAGAAGATGAGGTTAGGTTTGGAAGCTTTTTTCAGGATGGCCACGAAAACTATCCTCGCGATCCCAGGAAGCCATGTACGCTCCTTTTCTTTCGTGCAGCTGCACAGGGGGTCGACGCCTAAAAGAGCTACTGGCGCTCAAGCTGGGGCGAAACAGTGCATCAGCGGAACAAACCCCAACCCTAAACCCTAAGCCCTATGCTATAAAATCCTATGCATATTTTAGAGCGATCAATAGAATGTAGGCTAAACCCTAGACTCTATGTCATAAAATCCTTTGCATGTTTCCACTCCTCCTTGAGCACCAGTAAGTAAAGTCATGTCCGCAGCTAAAGGTCGAAGCGGTTCGTTGGGGGGTTTGCGTTTACGGTGAGGAGCTTGGGGAGTTGGGTTTTGGGATTTATAGTAAGGGGATTTTGGTAACCCCAACCCCCAAAATAAGGACCCTATAACCATCATATGATAGTCATAGGGTCCTAATTTTGGGGGTTGGGGTTACCAAAATCCTTCCATTAATTTAGGGTTGCGGGGTTAGGCCTGCCTTAGGTTTTGCTTTGGGGCATAGGTCCTTGCACTCGTCAATGATTGTCGTGACTTTCCGGCAAAACCGTGACTTGCCACTAAAGCTTCTGGAGTTGGGGCGCAGGCTATTGTGAACGCGAACAAGGCCCGTGACAGGATGTCCTTAACATGCCATGTACGTGCTGTGCATCTGCTTAGGGTTTAGGGTTAAGGGTTCAGGGTTCAGGGTTTAGGGTTTAGGGTTTGGGGTTTAGGGCCATGCCCAAAAACCTTCTTACTACCAGCAGCCCCGCGACAAGTCAGGTGAATCATTCTTTGCAACGACTATGGTGGATGGAGGAAATCCTGCACCACCTAACAGCCCCGTAACGACACCTTTAAGACTGTAATTCCTAGCATATACACGCGGTACATATTAAAAAGGAGGTAGTAAACATGAATGTTGGCATGGTCCGGTAGTTTTCACGAACAGGAGGAATCCCAGTAGACCCCAAAATACTATACTTATTCATTATGGGGACCCTCAAACAGGTGCGACTTTGATTTTTGGACACCCCCATATTGTTACCGTACCGTAAACCCTAAGCCTTAAACCGTGCATTGTACCGCTCGCATGCGCCTTAGCGCGGACAGCGGATGATGTATCACAGGCTGAGTACTGTAAGCTTTGGGGTTTAGGGTTAGGGATTAGGGTTGGGGTTTAGGGTTTGGGGTTTAGGGTTTGGGGTTTAAGGTTTCGGCTTAGGAGAATTGGTTGGGACCTAATTATATGGGTCTGTTTTTCTAAAACTAGGCGCGCCCGTTTGGGGGTCCCCATTTTGAGGGTTGTAGTACTTTGGGGTATATATTAGGGCCCCCTTCATTGTGGCAACGACCATATCTGGGCTATGAGTTATAGGGGAATACTATCGGCAGTTCTTCAGACTTTTACAGAACCGCTTCCTGTTGTACAGACCCCTCGATGGGGCTTCCCTGGACGCAGGACAGCCCACGTAGACGTGAGTGGAGGCGCGGACGTGAGTGGAGGCGCGGGGCAAATCTAGCAGGATAACCAAACCCTAGACCCTAAACCCTAAACCGCGGAAATCTTGTAAAACCAAGGTGTGGCAAAAGGGGATGCCTTGGCTTCTGCTGAAACCATGCATGAACTAAATTTGCCACACAAGTATAAACTCGTAGGTGAGTTTTCATTTATCACCTATTTGAACATTGTCACTGACCCAGCTGTCAGTCAGGTAACTTAAGTGGGGGGATCTAGGTGTCCAGTGTCAGGTTTAAACCCCCCTCCCTTTCAGGGCCTTAACATTGGATCCCTATTATGCTCCCTATTGAGGGCAGGGGGTTTATCAATCAGGGGCCTGGGTTACCACCAAAAAAATCAGGTTCTACGGACTTTCCCACCAAAAGAATCTTCTGTCTGTTTCAGCTGGCGAAACCCTAGCAGTCATCCAAAGCCTTAAGCTTCTAGCCTACACCCTGTTCCTGAATCACTATGCCCTGAAACCTATATCTGGGGTACTGCCCCCCTGTAAGAGTTGGATAACAAGTACATTTCGTTGTATGTATGTATATATATATAGCCCTAAATGTTACGCGCATTATAAACTGTTTGTGGGTGGGAGCAGTACCCAACCTAAACTCTAAATCCTCAACCCTCAACCCTTGAAAAAAACAACCCAAAACCCTAAACCCTAAACCCCAGACCCTCAACCCCAAACCTTATGAACCCTAAACCCCAAACCTTATAAACCCTAAACCCTAAACCCTAAACCTTATAAACCCTAAACCCTAAACCCGAATTTCCCCCGCCCTTCCAAGCAGGATCGGACCCCAAGAGCTTGTGCCTTCCACCGAAACCTGTCTTTTGCGTAAGGGTGGGAGGGTATAGGGTATAGGCATATGGAATGGCGTTTTAGGGTTCGGGGTTTAGGGTTTGGGGTTTGGGGGTCTGGGTTTAGGGTTCGGGGTTTAGGGTTTGGGGATCAGGGCTTAGGGCTCCTAAGATTTGAGGCTTACGGCTTGGAAGAAACGGGGCGCGAGGTAGTTACCTGGTTGGCCGGTTTACTCCGTCGTCGGACCGCCACACTTCTACAGGATGCCATTATGGAGGACGTATAGGGGGTATATAGGGACCAGGGGGAGGTCCATAAGGGGTATATGAGGTTCGTAACTTCCCTCCTGTAACTGCAATTGCTTCCAGATATATCATGAAAGACGCATGTTATCCATAATTGTAACTCTAGGGGGATATTTTGGTAATTGCCCTAAAAGAAAGGACCCTTTAAAGTATAATACTATAACCCTTGTTGCGATGGCTCTTAACAGAAGAGTTACCCCTAAATTTGGGAAACGCCCATTTACAGATTATGACTTATGACTTGGTCATACGTTGAGTGTTTTGCTACCCAGCGTCAGAGGTATGCCGCAGGAGGAACTCGAGCCTAAACACTAAGCCCTAAACCCTAAACTCCAAGCCCCTTAATCCTAGACCCTAAATCCGAAGCCCTCAACCTTGACACGAAGCCCTTAACCCTTAATCCTGAGCAAACCCTTGCTTAGTTGGCCTTTAGAGACCCTTGAAAAATTTTAGTATAGATGGTCCCTATAAAACCAATAAGGGAAAATATTTAAGGAACCCAGAGGCCTATCCAGCTTGATTTCAGATCTTCAATGCGGCTCGGAAGGTCCAATCTGAAATCCCGTGCGATTTGTGCACACGCGGAGGGCACATGAGTAGTGTTTTTTTGGTGGTTGAACCCAGTAAGATAATATTCCCTATATGAAATACTATACCCCAAAAAGAGGATCTAATCTTACTCTATATTGGGTACCATAGTATCCCCAAATAAAATACTACTCACATGGGCCCTGTGAGCGTCCCCTTAAAAACAAGCACTCCACGTGGGGAGGTGATTTCAACCCTAGGCTTTGGACCCAGAGCCTTACGGTGCAGGGCTTTTGGTTAGGGTTTAGGGTTTAGGGGGTTGTATCCCAACACCTGCAGCCTCCTAACAACGTGAACTTGCAGTTACTTGGTGTCCTAAGTCCCTAACTTTAAAAACCTTTAACGTTTTGTAGCTTCAGAGTCAAAATTACTCCCCCAAACCCTAAGCAATTGTCATAAACCAGCATATACCCTACACCTTGAACCGCGCTAGCTGGGTTTCAGGGCGGGGACCATCATCCGCAAGCATCTGGATGCCGACTGGGGGTTGAGAGGAAGTTTCGCAGCTCCACCGCCTCAGCGCACAGTGTAAAGGCCTAACCAATTACCCAATATTCTGGTCCCTGGAAGGAAGCTGCAGGGTATATATAAGTTATGTGCGTCAGCATTCATGGGTTCCCCCTCCATGATCTGAGCTACAATCTAATCTCCTAGCATCCCCTAAGAACACTTATACTACTCGCCTACATAATTCCCTACATGACCCCTATTAAGATGCTAGACTATAGCTCATATCGAGTATGATGGTCTAAATTAAGTTTAAATGTTCAGGAAGTTCTCTGAAGGGTTTCTAGAGGGGGGTTATATGCTTGTTAACGGTTTTATAGCACTTTATACAGGCTTATCGAGATAGAGGGTGTCTAGCGTGTTGGAAGATAGAGCTTCGTAGAAGGTTTACAGGGGGGGTTCATGGGTTGTATAAACGGCTTATAAACCGGTAGAAAGTTTAGAAGGGGCTTGTGGGGGTTTCATAGAGTTTTTTTGGGGGGGACTTATAGAAGTACCCCTCCTCTGGTTATGTGGCCCTGTAGTCTGGGTCCTGTGGTGAGGGTTTAGCGTTTGGGGTTTAGGGCTTAGGCTTTATTTACGGAAAAGTTCATGGTTCTCTGGGTTATAGCTATGGCCTCATCCCGGATGCGGACGATGAGTACCATGGGGCGGGCAGGGGGAATTTGCAGGGTGCAGGGCGCCGATAATGGAGCATCAAATGCGAGAGAAAATAGATAATGAAATGGAAGCTGGCATTGTAGGGGATTATAACCCTAAACCCTCAACCCAGTGTAGGGATAGCTACCCAGGATGATTCCAGGTCCCCGGTTTATAACTCTGAGAATGCACCTCAAACACACCTTAGGATGATACTGATACTAGTATATAATGGTTTAAGCTCTTACATTAGGCTTTGTCTTTGAGGTGTGCCCTAACCCTAAACCCTGAACCCTCAGACCCACAAGAAGACATGCATCTGTAGGCCGCTTAGACAAGGTTTATATATGAGCTACTATCTAAACTCCTAGTATCCCCTTAATAACCCTATAGTAGTCCCCTATATATCCCCCCTTTAAGGAGTTTAGACTTTAGCTCATATAGGATTCTACGCAAGCCTAAGACTGCAGGTTTTGTGGAGTCTAAGGAGGTGCTTGGGACGAAAAGATTTGACTTTGGGGCCTAAGGCGGGTACCTTTTAGGCGTAGATCTTGTGGATTTCGGGTTGATCAGGATTAGGCCTTAGGAGGTTTAATTAGGGGTTTTTGGGGCTCAGGAACTAAGGTCTAGCAACTGGGGATTTAGGATCTAGATTTAGGATCTAGGGTCCTGGACATACAGTTCCGGCGACGGCAAAAAAAGCGGGACCGACAGACGAAATGTAGCCTAACACATGAGCTATACGTAAACCCTGAATATCCCCCTTAATAACATCTAAAATACTCCCCTAAATAGTGCCCTATATAGCTTAGGAGTTTAGACTATAGCTCACATGTACAACCCTACACCATCAACCGTCAAGCCTGCCCACTGCACGCTCCTGGCTTTTGAGCAAGGCTATGGAGCTTTCAGGTCAGCGGAACCTTCAACCTCTAGGGTTTCGGGTTTAGGGTTTAACCCACCCTAAACCCTAAGTGACATGGCAGCATCTAGCTAGGCTACAGGGGGTAGGTGTTACGGTGAAAACCAGGGTTGGTTGCAGTCATGGCAGGAGCCCACGGAAATTTGAGGTCCGAAAACATCATGTACTGAAGACTGCTCTTTCAAAGGTACCTCCTTGGAGTCCCTCTAATCAGACTTGTCGTGTTTTGGGGTATGGGGGTTTCCCAGAATTGAGGGTACCTTTTTGGTGGGATCCCATAATGAGGATCATAGTATTTTGAGGTCTATATCGGGGTCCCCTTATTTTGGGAAACCACCGTATGTCTATAATTTCATGCTGGGATGGAGAATGCTTCGAATTATTCAAGCTTCCACATTACGCCTGCTTGACATTATGCAATCCCATCTGCGCTTGGGCCTCAGTCTTTAGCAAGCTAAAACAAAGGCTCGGGCTGAAGGGCGATATTCAACTCCGATCACCGAACGCCTCGTTTAATCCTAAACACTAGACCCTAAAGGTTGAACCCTAAACCCTGGACCCTAAAACCCTAAACCCTAAAACCCTAAACCCTAAAACCCTAAACCCTCCATGCTTGTGAGGTTTTTGCGCTTGCGGGGTGATCGACTTGACCTCTTAACCCCGATCCCTGAGCCCTTCCCTTCGCGTCAGATTGTAGCGGTTTAGGGTTCAGGCCCTAAGAAGCCCACAACCCGGCTTCAGAACATAAACGCTCGTCTCGAGCAGCAACTAAACCCTACGACAACCTAAATCCTAAACCCTAAACCCTAAACTCTAAACTCGACTTAAACCCTAAATCCTAAACCCTAAGCCCAAGCCAGGCTTTCAAAGGGCTCAAAACCGTGAATCCTACGCTGGGCGAATCCCGAGAGTTTGAGCTGCAGGCCATCTCCAAATGCAGTTCGTCCTCCGACGCCAGAGACATAGGATCGGGTGTAGGGTTTAGGGGTTAGGGTTTAGGGATGAGGGTTTAGGGCTTATATGTGCCCAAGTTAAAATGATCCTTAGAGCCTGAAAGAAGGCCACTTCGGTACTATTTTTTAAAATGAGTTGGTAATTTCCCAAAATAAGGGGACCCCAACATAGGCCCCAAAATGCTATAATCCTTGTTCTTGGGCCTTTCAAAAAGGTACCCCTACTTTTGGGAAACCCCCAACTATCATTTGGGGAGTAGATGAGGTCGCTAAAACTTGCCCAACAACATTCTGGGCAAGGCCGCGGTCATGTCCTCGTAAAACAAACCCTAAACCCTAAACCCTAAACCGGAGTCTGGAACAGCCATCCTCCCAGTTAGAGGCAGATTAGGGCTTAGGATTTTGGGGGGTTACTTAGAGGTCCGTTGTACTTATAACCTAATTAGTAACTGTAGTTATAACCTAATTATAAGTCCCATAACTTCAGTGACCCTAGATACAATAGGGTTATAACTACAGTTACTAAGTAGGGTTATAAGTACAACGGACCTCCAAGTAGGGGTTAGATTCCCCTAAACCCTAAACCTTGGGTCATTCCCCCTCCCAGTAACTGTCCTTAAAGGGGCCTTATTAAGGGGGTTCTTATAACTCCTATAACCCATTATGGTAACAGGTACTGTAAGGGGGAATGACTCAACCTAAACCCCCTAAACCCTAGGGGCTAGGGATCCTAGACACGATGTTAAGTGGAGGTTTGCAGCCCCACAGACGTCTGGCTTGGGGTACACAACCCCAAAGGCCTACAGCGTTTACCCCGAGCCCAGCTCCCAAGACATACACTCCCCCAAACTAACATGGAAACCCATATGACCTATAGTCTAAACTCCTAGTATCCCCCTTAATAAGCCCTATAATAGAACCTTATATAATCCCCTATATAACCCCCTTTATGGAGTTTAGACTAGAGCTCATATAGCCCCCTTTTAGAAGGACTGTAGTCTTCATTGGGCCCTTGTTGGGTTTCCATGTTAGTTTCCGGGAGTGTACTAAGCTTCAGAACCGCCTCTTCAGATAGAGCTAAACCAAAATCCCTAAACCCTAACCTGATACCTGGGACTTCGGCCTGGACACTGAGAAAACACACTAAACCCTAGACCCTAAACCCCTAAACCCTAAACCCCTAAACCCTAAACCCCTAAACCCTAAACACCCCAAGCCCCAAAAACGGCCGAGATCTTGCAGACATCAATGGCTTTTAGGAGGGACTCCCTGGGTTTACGGTTTTGGGTTTTGGGTTTTGGGTTTAGGGTTTGGAGTATTTAGGGTATTTAGGGTTTAGGGTTTGGGATATTTAGGGTATTTAGGGTTTTGGGTATTTAGGGTTTAGGGAAGGAACCTGCCTAATCCCATTACCCTACATAACCCTTTTCTCGTCCTTATATGGGTGTTTCCAAAAATTAGGGGTGCCTCTTGGGGGGTCCCTATAACAAGGACTATAGTATATTGCGGTCTATATTGGCGTACCCGAATTTGTGGAAACTACCATATCCCCCCAAAAAACAAGTGGTCCCCATATTCCCTCCCAAAACATGCTAGGGTCCCCATCAAAGGTAAACCCTAAACTCGAACCTCCTAAGGCCCCTAGAAGACAAACGGTCTCCTTCTCTGCACGCTCTGTGATGCTATCCACAGACCTCAGCTGGGGCATAAGGGATACTAGTGAGGTGGATTAGGGTTTAGGGCATATTATTAGGGGGTCGGTGTTAGTATTTTACATACTTTTAGGGTTTAGGTATGGTTTAGGGTCTAGGGGGTTAGGGTTTAGGGTCTAGACTTTAGGGTTCAGGGTTTGGGATTTAGAGTTTGGGGTTCAAGGTTCAACCGTGGTTGAAGGCCAGAAGACATCGGGAGCAGCTTGTGAATAATATCTAACTAACATCTGGGTAGTTCCCAAAATGAGGGTTCCAATTTTTGGTGGTACCCCTACATATTTGGTGCCGTGATATACGTAGTCTATACCCACGAGGGGCCCATAATTGAAGGCAACCCATATTCTAAACCCTAAACCCCATGGCGGCATGATAGGAAGACTTTTTGGCTTCACCGCATTTTTGTCTCGGCACGAAACACGTCGACCCTGAAGTCCAACATCTGTGGTATTCTCAAGAGTATGGGCCCCTTTTTGGTTATGGGTTATATTACAGCACCTAATACTGTTGATGGAGCAAAACTCGCACCACCTTAAGTCCCAAAGCCTTAGGAATTACAGTAGTTTAGGGCCCTGGGTGGTGTAAGATTTACTCGATCAACAGTATTTAGGGGTACCAAAAACGGACCCTAGTTTTGGGAATCCCAACATCTGCAACCTGGATCGGGCAGGGCTGTGATTTATTCCGCCACTTTCTCAAAACCATGCGTCCTTTTCGGGGGTTCCCTAGACCCTAAATGCTTCACCCTAAACCCTAAATCCTAAATCCTCTAAACCCTAAACCCTTAACCCTAAATCCTAAATACCCTAAACCCAAACCCCTTAACCCCAAACCCTAAGCCCTTAACCCTAAACCCTACACCGAAATAAACCTTTAACCTGAAGCCTCCCTACTCCCTAAACCCTAAACCGCTTTGGTACCCACTTGGCAACTCCAAGAGTTGATGGATATTAGTTTTTAAGGTTTCAGGATTTTAGGGTTTAGAGTTTAGGGTTTAGGGCCACAGGGCTTTTAGGGTTCGGGGTTTAGGATTTAGGGCTTTAGGGTTTAGGGCCCCATGTAGACCCCTGATGAATGAACTCCCCCTCCGTTTAAGGGCCTGAATATTAGGATCCCTATCATAATCCCTATTGAGGGGGGCGGGGGTTATTAATCAGGGGTCTGCATCACGCCCCAAAAAGTCTTCAAAAGTAGGGTGTTGGGCTTAGGGGTTCAAGCATTCAGTTTTTAAGATCAGAGACTCAAGGGACCGAAGAACTATTTAGGATGTTGGTTCTAGGTTTCAGGGTTTCTTGAAGGTTCAGGGTATGCGGGCTAGGGTTTAGGGCTTGCGGCTCAGGGTTTCGGGTTTTAGGTTTGGGGGTTTAGGGTAAGTATAATCCGGGCAAGTATAAGCCACGTACTGTATGTCAAATTACTTCTACCCAACTTTTTTCTATCCCCCACACGCCTTGATAGGGTTTTACATAATTGGGCTATAGTCATCCTACAACTCAAGTACGCTGTATCTTTGGAATTATGGTAATGTAGCATACTAGAGTTTAGGGTTTAAAGTTTGGAGCTTAGGGCTACTAGAGTCATGCAGAAGTCTCAAGATCAACCCTATCACCTATAACTTCAGGGTCCCTCGAAGTTAGCCTTAGGATCCAGAAGTGGCCGAGTTCATACAAGGGACATGTCCCCAACGAGCACGCCTTAGATGCAGATTGTCATAGGATACTGTTCATGGAGGAAATCCTGCGCCACCTATAGCCCCTAGACTACTTTAACTCCTAGGACATTAAGGACTTAAGGTGGTGCAAGATTTCATCCATCAACAGTCTCTGCTTCAGGTGTTGGGCCTGCAGGACATCATGGTGTTGTGGTGAACCTCTTTGCGGGGGAAAAAACACATACTCCTAGTAGGCCTTCTAGTGTTTTAGTAACTCTTTTTGGGCAAAAGGTTTGAGTGGCGTAAGGGCTGTCAGGGGGACTTGGTAAGTAGGATAACATGGGGAGATAACTGGGGTTACTTTATGGCTTGTATGGGACTATAGGATTTTTCAAGTCTCCAGGACCCTCAAAGTAGTGTTCAAGGCTTAGGGTTTGGACCAAAGCCCGGAAGAACCTTAACATCAGGGACAGGGCTTAGCGTTTGGGAATAAGGTCTAAGTTAACCCATAATCATAATCTAAGTCATATTCCAATATGACACTGTACTATTTCACTCTACTTCTTTATGCTTGCTGCAATGACTTTTATCAAAATCTCATGTACCCGGCTCTTCAGGGGCTCTTAGGGGAAAGCCACTTCTGCCCCATATAACCAGGTAGTCCCCACTGAACCGCCAAAAGCTACAGGGGCTCCCATTAAGGGTCCCTCTTAACGCCCCCAGATTTGTTCGATACTAGGACCCTCAGCCAGGTCTAAAGGTCTGCTACAGAGTTGCGGTTTGGAAGCCAACTGGAGTTAAGAGGAGGAATGGGAACTGAAATGGAGACTATTTCATTTGAGATTTGATGTTTAGGGTTTAAGGTTGAGGGTTTGGGGACGTAGTAGGTAAGATAATACTGGGCGTAACTGGGATCCCCACATGGCGTACAGGGGTCATAGGCGGTATACATATGAAAATCCCTAAGACCCTTGCAGCAATCACCTCCCGGGCAATGGGCATGCGAAGCCCTAAACCCTCAACACATTGATAGGGTTTGGGGTTGAAGGTTTAAGGTTGGACTCTATATGACGGGGGGTGGGCAATATGAGGGGAGAAGGGAAAAGTTTGGCACACGCAGTCAGTGAATCTGTTGCCTAAGGCTTCACAGGTGTTTGGGGGCCTCACCCTCCTTCAAAAAAGAACATGCAACCTGAAACGTGGATCTTTGGAAGCCCTGTAGCTGTAATCCCTAAGCCCTAAACCCTAAACCCTAAACCCCAGGGTAACCGGAACCCTAAACCTAAGTTTGTTTCGGGGAAGGTAGGGCGCTGTCTCCACGTTTCAGGCCACAGGGGCTCTGCGAAGGGCAGATCCTCACATCATGTCAGGGCCTAAAAAAAGGACAGTAGGTTTAGGGGCTTAGAGTTTTGGGTTTTGGGTTTAGGGTTTAGGGGCTCAGGGTTTAGGGTTTCGGGAGTTATACTACACTACAAAGGTTTAAGAGTTAGAAGGGGATAAGATTCCTCATCATTATGGCCCCTTGCATTGCCCTGGCGCAACCCAGGGATGCCCTTGTCATCGACTTCTTCAATGATGGTTGGCCCACGTAAATCCTTGCCCCAGTAGGGAACGCCGAAACCCTAAAACCTTACACCCTCAACCCTAAACCCCGAAACCTTTAACCCTAAACCCTGAATTCATCAACCTTGGGAATTCCGGAAGTGCAGGTACAACTGCAATCGGTCCTTGCCGAATGAAGAGACTCTGACACTCTGTTTAAGGTTCAGGGTTTAGGGTAACAAGGAACCTCCTACTCAAACCCCTGAGGCCTCACCCCCCACCCGCCGCCAAAGCCCTAAACCTTAAAGATTCAAGCTCCTGAAGCCTCAATCCCCCGTAAACCCTAAACCCCTAAGATCTAAAGATTCAAGCTCCTGAAGCCTCAATCCCCAAATCCTCAACGGAAATCTCTGCACATTGCAACCCAAACCTTACTGGTGAGATTAGGGGCTTAAGGTTTAGGGTTCAGGGCTAGGGGTCTTAGGGGTTGAGGATTTCGGGCTCGGGGTTTAGAAGCCCGGCCCTAGGCCCTAGACGCTAAAACCAGGATTCTACAACCCAAAACCCTAAATCCTAAAACCTCAAATCCCAAACCCAATCCCAAATCCCTAGGAGGAGCCCTAAACCCTTAACCCCAAACCCTCAACCCTGAAGCTAGCCGAGTGGCTTCCCAGCATTGGCAATGTGAGCTTGATACCCAGGCAGTGCTCATCACACTGGATTCCGCGGTACCACGCATTCCTGGCTCCCATATTAAGGTTTAGGGTTTAGGGTTTAGGGGTTATGTTAGGGGTATATTGGGATTTATGGGTTATATACGGACGAATATAGGGATTATATAGGGTATAATTATTGGGATAATGGAAAATCAATTGGAAACTACTACTTAGGGTTTATTGGGCTAGTATTAGGGGAAACTACTACTTAGGGTTTAGGGTCTAGGGGTTTAAGGATTAGGGTTATGTTAGGGGTATATTGGGATAATGGAAAATCAAATGGAAACTACTACTTGGGGTTTAGGGTCTAGGGGTTTAAGGGTTTTGAGGTTTAGGGGTTTGGGGTTTAGGGTTTAGGGGTTCCTTGTTTGACCCCCAGCAGCACGATAGTTTAGGGGAAATGCTATATAAGGTGATTAAAAAAAATCCTCCATCCAGCCCCAAAACACCCTAGAATCATTCTCCACGCCCCGAGGATTTACGCTGCACGAATTGCCAGTTTTTGGTTCAGGCTGTGTAGGCTCATGCAGGAGTGTTGGGTTTAGGGTTTCTGGTTGGGGGCAAAATTTCTCTAAGCCAGACAGATGTGGAAGCCGACGGAAGGCCTTGCAAAGGCTGAATTCCTGTTAAAAGAGGTCTCCAACCGAGCGTTCCCTGCCCCCCCAACCCCGCTTAATTAGGTTCATGTCGTCTTATAATTTACCCTCCTAAACTTTAACTCCTAAGCCCTAAGCCCCCAAACCCTAAACTGCTAAACCCAAAGCTCTTACCTAAAGCCAAAACCCTAGACCGGCTACATGGAAACTTTGCCGAGTGGCTTAGCTCGAGGGAGATATCGGGAGTATAGGCGTTTCTGTTCAAGATTTGGGATTTGGAGGGTTCATTTCAAGAAACACTTCCGTATAGCCCAAAAAGGCCATGAGACGAAACCTTGAACCCTACAACTAGGGAATGAACACATATAGTAATCTCGGTGTAGTGGAATAAATCTACAGGGCCATGATATAGCTGCACGCGACCAAAGCAAGATGATTCGGATGCAAGCAATGCGCGGTCTCATCTGCCCACCATTGCTGTTCGGAACCTCGAGCGTGGAGATATCAAATCGTCCCAGCTTCACCGTGCCCCGCCCTTCGCTTTCTTCGATCTCGGCCTGCTGCAGCAAGACAACTGCTTTGAGACCGATGCTGCGGCATTGAGTGATAGGTCCTCCTCCGTAAGGGTGGTGTCTGGCCCCTCTGCTTCCCATAAGGGAAGCTCGAAGAAAACGTCGTAGGCGGGACCCGACCTGAACTGGATCCAACTGAAGCAGCATGAAATGTTTGTGCCTGTGGCGGACTTTCGCACCGAATTCGTGGCCGGGAACGCTGCTAGATGGTGAAACAACACTTGTCTACTAAACCTTAAACCTCAACCCGTAACTCACTAAACCCTAAACCCTAAATCCCCAACCCAACACATAAACCTCTTGAAGGCTGGAGGGCACTCCCTCCAGCAATTAAGGGCCTAGATAGGGGTTCTTTAAAGCGGTCCTACAAGGGGTTTCAAACTAGAAAGGGTCAGGGTTTATGGCTATAGCAAGGACTCAAATAAGTAGAAAGACGAGGGGCTTTACAGAGTCCATGATGCGGAGGCCTACTTAATGGAAATGGGGCTTCGGAGTATTCGAATGCTATGGCTACTGGCTACATAAGCAAATTCAGGGATACTGGTTCTGGACTCACCTCTTTCTAGGGTCTAGGGTGTAGGGCTTAAGGATAGGATTTAGGGTGGGTCTTACCAAACTCCAAATCCCAACCTGTTGCTTGAGAATACACAAAGGCATCCCGATAGCAGCGCCTACATGATCTCCCATGTTTATAGTGGGCTTAGGCTGCAAAGTGAACTTCTACCCTAAGCTTAATACCCTAAACCCTAAACCCTAAACCCATTCCTTTATTCCCTACTAACAAAGGGCAAGCTTTAGGGTCCCCCATACTCTGCCGAATCTCAAAGAGGGTTTAGGGTTTAGGGGTTTAGGGTTTTAGGGTTTAGGTTTTTAGGGCTTAGGGCCACAAGAACTCAACTAAGGCTATCACAAACTAAATTCCATTCACAGCTAGCCAGGCTTGTTCAAGAATGATTCAGAATCTTTTGGGCTTTAGGGTTTAGGGTTTTAGGGTTTAGGGTTTAGGGTTTAGGGCTTTAGGGTGCAGGGTTTAGGGGTAAGAGTTCTAGCATCAAAGCCCCAAGACCCGAACCCAGCACTGTTTCAATCATGCACCTCTGAACTGCCTAGTGCTTCGTGGCTTCTTAGAGAATGAGGCAATAAATCTCATTAGTAGCCCACACCTACATATATATATATATACATAAATGTTTAGAGAGAGAGAGAGAGAGAGCGCGAGAGAGAGAGAGGGCTTAGGTTAGGATTTAGGGTTTTAGGGCTTTGGCTTAGAGACATGTATCCTAGAATCATCCGTTGAGCCCATTCTCCCATTCCCTATTAACCTCAGGTAGGAAACTTCCATGCGAATCAGGCCAGTTGGACATGTGCTCCTGTAGCCAGTCTTCTATGATGATCTGGTACCTGTCTTTCCCTTTCTAAAGAGGGTTGAGGGTTTGGGGCTTTGGGTCTGGCACCTGTTAGAAAGGAT